AAGAAAACCCGGAAAAACCTGCAGCACCACATCATTTGAAGTTCTTCATCTACCAATGTCCTCTCTTTCATAAAACAAAGGTGTAAGGCGTCTCCAGAGGTTCCAATAAATTCAAAACATCGCCAGAACACTTCGTGACACGACTATCGTCAAACTTAAACCAGTCCGTTTCGTCCTTGACCAAGGCGTAATAATGACCAGATTCAACGCCAGAACCACAGTGAATAATGACTGCATGAAGATTATAATAGTGGTCTGCTATTTCGAGTTTAAGTGAGAGTTTGATGCATCCGTCAGAAGTTGAGTCATCTTTGAAGATCATCAGTGTCATTATTAGATTGACTGGTGTCTCAGCTATACTTGGTTTCTTATAAAAGTCAGTTAGTTTGGCGCATGTTTGGCAATACAGTTGATCATCACCCATTAAAAGTTACATTTTCAGATGATTTGATAATAAGCTTTACACGGACTGGTTATCGGTCATATTAGGAAACGCTAGTTGAAGTTCCAGAAAATCGAATACGTTTTTGCTATCTCTTGAACATTTACGACAAAGTAAAGAAGTGGGGAGTTTTCCAGCAAAAGATCTACAAACACAAGACGAGATAGACTGTAAGAGAGCAGTCAGGATTATTGATTATACTATTTTTTTTCTCACGAAGAGTATTCAACAAGAACCCAAAAAATTTGGAGCAATCCTCTTGTCATCCTAACGAGTATCTAGTGGACTTCAAAAACTCCAGGAAATCGATTGGTGGAAATAAAAATATGAAAAATTAGATTACAAGCTACAAAAAACATGAATTTTCCATTAGAGATGAAGGGAACGCAGGTCTCTGTATCCACCTAGTATAAATATCGATTCAGTTCATGACATGACATTTCTGGTTTTCTTGAGTACTAGTTACTACGTTATGTTTACCCGTATACTTTTATTTCCGACGAAATTATTGGGATGCTTATAGATCTCAATGGCCTTCATATGGAGCCGTACATTAATGCGTTGAATAACACAAAACAGTAGTTTCCAAAATTGATTCCCAAATGTCTAAGTATTGACCAGATACGTGGAAAAGTAGATGAATCCCATTCGAAATGTACTCGGTTTGAAAAAGAAGAACTTTCAAAGCCGTGTTGTTACTGGGATGAAACTCAACACTTTCAACATCTAGAAACGAAGCAGCAATCGATGGAATGGTGACAGATCAATCCTCTGAGGTCTAGAAAATTTTATGTTTAGAAATATGCTGAGTTTTTGGCTCAGTTTTTTGGGAATCATAAGGACAAAAATAGAAGTGCGTGCCTGTTTTGCAGAGCAAGATGAGGATAAAAATCAACGAACCTTAATTACGATGAGCAATTTGTGATTTGTCGATTTGATATAATATTTTCAATATCTGCGATACGAAAATCACTGCACACGATCTGATAACAATTTACTAATTGTATTGATATACTGTTCTCATCTCGAAAACACTTTTATTGCATTTAATATTTTACTCAACATGGAATAATGATTCTCAATAAATATCGATATTGGACTACATCAAAAAGCTATTAAGAAAGTGAATCGATAGATTATGAATAAACAATGTTTCTGTTGCAGTGAGAGAATGGAAAGAACCCACATAAAGGCAACTCTGCAGCGAACTTGAATATACTTCTTTCAAATGCATCAATTCATGTTGTTTTGAATATAAAATTTCAATGAATTTCAAAACAAATTCATCAGTGGAAATTCAGTAATGAAAGTTTGAAGTTTGAAATGGAATAGGATTTTTTCTTTGAATTGGTCGGATGATACATTCTTCTTCACTATCGTGATAGTTCATAGAAGATGTACTTAATTTTTCTGGTGATACTAAAGAAATTTACCTTAATTATGATAATATGATTATCATAAATTGGGTGTGAAATAATGAGGAAAACTTTCTGTGTTTTTTAACACTTCTATTTGTAACTAACGTTACTGCAGTTTCGTCAAACTTATACATAAAACCAACAATGGTTTGTTACATTAGCCTCCATACAGGGCTTTTCATGATGAGCGTTGATTAGCCGTTTCTGACAAACTATTTAACGGATCAACCTGAAAATTTCACAGTATGCATAAATCAATGTGACCTACACGCCTAAAATATTTCAGACGAAGCGGCATTGTCGCTTCTACTATAAAGTAGCGGCTTCTTTGATTTTTCAAATGGAACACCCCGTATATAATATCATATTATGATTNAAATTTGATCGTTTTAGTGCAAGAGAGTTCAAGATTATCAGCATTTATAAAAGTTCATGTTTGGTAAAAAAAATATCGAAATTAATTTATATCTTCTAAACGGTAATAGATAGGTATAGGGAAATAGTATATGAATTTGTTGACAAAGTGATAATGAATCATAATATGATATTATATACGGGGTGATCCATTTGAAAAATCAAAGAAGCCGCTACTTTATAGTAGAAGCGACAATGCCTCCTCGTCTAAAATATTTTAGGCGTGTAGGTCATATTGACTTATGCATACTGTTGAATTTTCAGGTTAATCCGTTGAATAGTTTGCCAGAAACGGCTAATTAATGCTCATCATGAAAAGCCCTGTATAGCACCCCTGTAGGTAATAATACAGGTACTTGCCTTGATTGAGTACCTGAATTTACAATTCACAATGCAGATGTACTAATTTGAAAACCGATGAGTAAACTAAATCGATTTGATCATTTAACAGGTTGCACCCGCAATGTTCATGCTTGTGAATTTCCAATGATTTTAAATAATTGAGTTTGTAACCCTTCCTTGCATAGTGCAAAATTTCCGTATCGTTTAGATTCAGGAACTTGTGGTTGCATACCAAGGAATGATTTGAAAACGTCGAATCATTTTTTTCTAGTGCAACATTGAATTGTAGGCTGTTAATTTATGACTGTCTTGACGGAAATAATCGCTTGGGATGGTAATGTCTGTTTAGCTAGGTTTTCTGAAAACATTGAACTCGAATTTATTCTGATTGTGTGTGATAGTCAGGTCTTAGACATTTATCTGTATATCTATCTCTGTTTCGAGTGTGAACTGAATGTTGCTGTTGAGATTCTTCATGTATGTCATAAATTGGTTCAGCTGTCGTGTAGCACCTCTGTCGTGTAGTACCAGAGGTACTATCCAGAAATTAGTCAGAAAACAAAGCCGTAAATTCACTTACAGATTAATATACCCTCAGGTCAAACAACCAGAAATCAAGAAATGGGCAACTCTAACATATTTTGAAAAAAGAACAGAGATAATTGCGGGTTTCTTCAGAAAAAAACAATGTGGAAGTGGCATTCAGACCACATGCCAGGTTATAAGTTCAAGTGTCCGGAGTGTAATAGTGTTTATGTAGGACAATATGGTCGAAATTTCTCAAAAAGGTATGCTGAACATGAAAGGTCCTCCAGACTAGGTAAAAATGATTCGAAGTTTTCAAACCATTCTTTGGCATGCAACCACAAGTTCCCGAATCTAAACGATAACGAAATTTTGAACTATGCAAGGAAGGGTTACATACTCAACTATTTAAAATCCTTGGAAATTCACAAGCATAAACATTGCGAGTGCAATCTGTTGAATGATCAAATCGATTTTTTTAGTTTACTCACCGGTTTTCAAATTAGCACATCCACATTGTGAATTATAAATTCAGGTACTCAATCAAGCCAAGTTTTTGATCCATTGTTTTGAAAATAGCAAAAGTAGTGTCAATCTTACTACAATAATTCACAAACTTATGAGTTGAATATAATGAAATTTCAAAAGTTCTCTTTTGAAGGTAAGTACTAACTGAAAAAGCGGTGAATGGAATAAGACTAGCGCCTGAGACTGTTCAACTCATGTAGTATGTGCTGTACATTTAATTGATGTGTTAGTATTCAAACAACTTATTCATTCACTATTTCAAATTTTATTCCTGTTATAAATATTTTTGTTTCTTGGGATTGATAAAAATCATTATAATCTTGTAACGGTACCAATTTGTTTCACGAAGTATAATCATTCGTAAACGCCAGAATAACAATTTTCAAGCACCCGTAGGTTCCTCTCTCCTTTTCGTTTGTAAACTGGTGTCCCGTGAGATTACAGATTTGAACTATTGTTGTTTACTTTCATTACATTAATAGACAGTACCTTTTCAATTGTTATTGAAGTACTTTCAATGTAGATGGAGTGCGATGTACCACCCTGCTCCAATCTTTAAATATCCCTTTCAAACTCTT